CAGTGAATCTAGGTAGGGTTGGCATGGCTCTACAGTTGGCAGAGGAGTGGTCGCACTTTCCCACGATATTGCAAGTATTGGAGGAACAAGGGGACACGGAGCTGCTCAGGAATTACCTGGAAGTTTTTAAAGATAAAGGTTTCGATGAGTTTATCTTCCATTATTATATTGATAATAGTAAGCCCACGTTATAATGATATTGTAGATATACAATTATTGTAATTGCTTTAGAGAACATCAAGCAGTTGATAGAGCTCACTAACTTGTTCCCAGAGTCACTGAGCAAGTTTCTTAATGAGTATCCAGAGCTTCAGTGGCTTCACCTAATAGCCACTGACAAGTATAATGAAGTTAGTGAAAATGAACTTTGATTCATCTAATCAAAAATCAATGCACTTTTTTTATTGTTTTATAGGCATCAGACTCACTGAGAAGAGTATCGGATAATGAGGAAACTTTCTTATCACGAAAGAAGGTATGTCATTTACTGCATGGGATATTGTTAAATTACTGGTATTAGACTGCACTGAGTCTCAGTAAGCTAGCACTACTGGCTGCTGGGGGCCACTCATCAGCAAAGACTGTTGGTGACTTGGAGGAGATCAACTGTGAGTTGCAAAGGATTGAATATGCTGAGAAACTACCGGAAAATTCACTAAAGGTCAGTTTTTTTACTTTCATGCACTTATATTAAATGATCTTTTTATGACTTAGAAAATAGGCGTGAAGGATATTAATGATTTGCCTCCATTGCCTCCTGAAGATGTCATTAAAGTCTGCCATGTTTCCATTTAATTATAATTATTAATGAGTTTTATAGTTGTTTCTTGAGGGAGAGGACAATCAGCTAATGTACACAATGTTTGCACTTAATTATCTTCTACTTGCTTATCCTGTAAGCTTTATAGCATGAGTTTTTATACAGACACTTGCTTGCTATATCTTTGATGCAGGTTGTTACATTTGTAACTTTGTTAGTATGATTCTGATGCATAATGTAGAATAGATTTATGTATAATATATCAAATATAGGAATCAGAGAGTGAAGAGAGAAGACAGTTACAAGTATTGATCTGGAGTCATGTGTTACTACAAACAAAGCAAGTCCTCTCATAACTTCCATGCAATCAATCAATCTTTTATTCTATTGTTAAAATATTACCATTAGTTGGTCTGAGTTCAATACTGGTGGAGACATAATGGAGGAACTTCAGGAATCACTCATGTTTAAGCTGATGAATGAATGCCATCATAATTGTATGCTGTTCCCCTAGCTTCTCTTATTGATTATATATTTTCTTTTTCTTTAGTTGCTGATGTTAAGCAGTTGTTGCCTGCAATTGAAGACTTGCTCTCATCTCAGTTGTTGGTTGATAAAGGATTGGATAGTTCTGCTATATTGATCTATTGTGTCAAGTTGTGCTATGAAAGAGTCACTGAACTCCAGCGTTAATATTAATTTTTAATAGTTGCTGAGTTGGCAAATTTACACCAAAATAATTGTAATTATTATTTTACTCATTGTAATGAATCAAGAATGTAGATTCATTACTGCTCTTCACTCTTGATCCGCATGTAAAGCTCATGGTCATCATGGAAAGGGCCTCGTGTTAAGCACGGGCCATCTTATTGGTATAATAACGCAACCTCTCTGCCCATTCTTTGCGTTTGAGGTCAGCCGTCACTGTCTCTTAGACTCTCTTTTGTGTAGAGAAGAGGCCGCGGTCCAAGCATCAAACATGTTGAGCTCCTTCACATGTGGCTTGACAACCAACCGAATTGGTATCTACATCTAATCATAGATCTCATAATGATAATAGTAACGTTATCAAGAGTAGATAATTTTGTTATTATTATTAAAATAGATCTAATGCTATTAATTTTAGCCTAACGGGTTTATGCATTCTAATATCTATGAATTGCAGCACTCAGTGATAAGCCCACCATCCACTATTCAACTTTGTTGAAAGCAACTTTGTGGTTACTTTGATCTTAGGGCAACTCTGTGC